AAAGATCAACATGGACATATGTGATGGCTGTCATCCTCCCAATGTGTACTCTCTGTGTACCTCTCTATGACTTTCTATGAAGTGGTTGGTAGCACAGCAGCTGATATGATGTCGTCAATGTGACCAACCTGCTAATTTCTGTTGAGAAATAAGAACAAGAAACAAAAAGTGTTAATTTAAGAGAGGTGTGATTTCATTATATTATGACCTTTTAAAAGAACACGTGTGTAGTCTGTTCTTATGAGTTTTTTTTTTTTCACTTTTTATTCAGCTCCAGGAGGAGAAACGAAGAAGGGAGAAAGCTGAGAAACAAGTTCAGATGTTGCCAACATATACATGTATATACATATATATCTATATCTATATCTATATCTCTATATCTCTATATCTATATCTATATATATATATATATATTAGGGGTGCAACGATATTCGTATCGATATTGAACCGTTCGATACAGTGCTTTCGGTTCGGTACGCATATGTATCGAACAATACAATTTTTTTCAATTTTTTTTTTTTTTTTTTTTTTTTGGTGTCCCGTTTGGATCTATAGCCATCAGAATTGTTGTCTTGAGGCCAAGAAAGATGCCAAGAGGATTTATTTTAAGTGGATCATCATATTGGTCCATTTGATTGACCTTTATTATAATTATGAATTTATTTTATTTTCAGTTGCAAATGGGACAGACATGACTGTGGGATAGGACAGGGGGAAAGAATGAAAGAAAGAGGGGGAGAGAAAGAAAGAAAACCAAAGGGGAGAAAAAAAAAGAGCAATACAAAATTTGTAATTTATTTTATCAACTTTCCTTCTGACGATGCTGTCTGTGTTGAGCGCTCAGTGAATCTGCATTTGACTACTCCGCCTAGGCTCGAGAGTGCAGCCTAGGCGGAGTAGTCGAACGCAGATTCACTGAGCACTCAACACAGACAGCATGGTCAGAAGGAAGAGCGCAGGGCAAGCTAGCAAGACAGAAGTGGACCTCCCCACCCTCATTCAGATCTGGCGTTTGGAATTATTTTGGTTTTCATGTGACGTATGACCCTGAAGGTAAGCGAGTCATGGACTAAAGTAAAACAGTATGTTGGATGTGCCATGCAATGCTCAATTACATGGGTGGGAGCTAGTGTGTTAGCGCAGTTAGCTCGTTAACGTGTTGGCCGTCTAGCCCCTCTGTATAGGGTAGCTCGTTAACGGAGATTTGCCGTGTTGTGGCGTTAAGGTTATTTCAACGAGATTAACCTGAAAGCACTAGTGGGAACACAACGAATATGACTGCACATTTACACCGACATCATCCTAGTGCAAAGACAAAAACAACAAGCATGCATGCTACAAACTTTAGCCGAGTCATTTAGACAGCTGTTAGCACAGGATTCTCCTTATGGAGACCTGATATGTTTAATATGCTGCTGAGAATATAGCCCAGAAGAAGCGGATAGTATAGCTTTTATTTTGGAAAGAGACATTTCTCTGTAATAAACTCTCTTTTCCAAAGATGAGTGATTCCTCAATCAGATACAGGGCTCGCAATATCGCTAGCCCGATGTCCCGGGGCTATCTCTGCCCTGCCTGTCGGGCTATTGTAGGAAGGAAAAATATATGTCAATGCTTTCGCATTCTTTCAGAAATGTAGCTGGGTAATTATGTCATTGGCATCGGTGAGCCACTGTGAATATGTGACATATTGAAATCGTGTTTGAATTTGCGCTTGTTTTTTTGCTTTCACTTTGCAATCGCGCGAACTGTGTATAGAGAGCGACAGCACTGATCTGTGAGTGATGATAATTTGTGCACCAATTCCTCTGACATCGTCTTATTAATTGTTAGCTTACTATGCAAACATGACAAGTGAAATCTCCCGCAGCTTAAACATGTGAGAGGTTGATCGCGCAGAGAATCGCTGAGCTTATGTGAGTGCGGCAGGATATATATTTCACTACGATGACCTGGATGACTGAGAACCTTCACAGACAGATATATATATTTTAGTTCTGCTGAGCCAAATAAGACAGGTCAGGGTGAAGAAGTGACAGCCAAAGAAAAGCTTACCACAAAACGGAGAAGTTATGACAAATCAGACTATAAGGCAAAAAGAAAGTGCAGCTTTATGGTTTCATGGACAAAAGAATTTCTGTGGCTGCAATATGACGAGCTAAAAAACAACACGCACAAGGGTTAGGGTTAAATTTAAAAACTGTACTTTTGTGTTAAAATATATATTTATAATTTTAATAAATGACAAATTAAAAAGGCATGAACATTTTTTTTGTATCGAAAAAATATCGAACCGTGACACCAAAGTATCGAACCGAACCGAACCGTGAATTTTGTGTATCGTTGCACCCCTAATATATATATATATAGGCAAAAATGCACATTTTCTGAAAACTCTTGATCATCTTCCTGTTTTCTAAAATTCCTCGCTTGTCTTTGGTTTGCAATACAACAAACACAGATATTCTAAATTCTTTCTAATGTCAACATTGGATGAAACAAATTGTTTTTTTTTTTTTTGTTTTTTTTTTGGATGAAACAAATTATTTAATAGAACTTCATCTCTTCATTTGTTTACTAGGTTTTGTTTGAGCAGTGCTTGTGTACTGGTAAATTTTAAACACATAAATGGGACAGTAGCAGCAACACAAACAGTTTGCATCTATTCAAGTTGCTGCCAAACTTTTTTCTTTCTTTTATTTTACAGTTTCTGCTGCTCTTCAGTCTCTCAGGTTAATTCACCTGCCTGATTAGAAAAGTGGTTTTAAGCTCCCGCAAGTATCATAGCAGATCTGTCCAACCCTGTTTATAACAGTGACCAGTTTCCTTGCGACAGGCTCAAAGTTCGTGAGGAAGATGTTACACACTCACACACACACACACACACACACACACACACACACACACACACACACACACACACACACACACACACACACACACACACACTGGATGTCTGGTTTCACTAATACTGAGTTTCAGTAATGATTTACTAACTCAGACTGTATGTTCTTTTCAGGTGAGAGCCACTTCATGCAACAGGTATGTTGTATTTTATATCTTATTTTTAATGTCTAAGTTATATGTTACCGACTTTCTCATCTTACTAAAATACCATCTTATACAAAATACATCGAATACATCTTACAGTACAGAATAGCAGGTCTACATTTAGAGCATTTACATTGAGGTACACATTATAACTTCGACATTATTTCTGGAGGAAAAGCTGAAACTTTCTGCATTTCAGGGGACTGGATAATTGTTGTCTGATCAATATTTATCAAATAAATAAGTGTTTAATATCTGGTTTTGCATGTTTCATTTACAAATATTACAACTATGACCTAGTATCAGAAAATGTCAATGAAAAGTTGTACTAAACATAGTTTTAGTTTATCGTACAGTATTCTACATCTGACAATATTCACACAATTTAAATTCACAATGGAACAATGAACTGAAGGTATTTGTGTGTCCATCAAAGAAACCACAAGGACATTTGAATTGAATGTGAAAGTATGAACCTGATTCAGCCATGTTTTATTGTTTTATTAGTAACTTGTTTGTATTATTTTTTCCCCATTATCAGAGCATAAATCATCAGATGGCTGGATTTTCCCTTTATTGTCTCAGAAACTGTTTTCTGGTTTTCCCTCTTCTTGTACATTTTTGTAAGTACCTTCACATATAAGGTCACAGTAATTATTTGTGTGTATGTGTTTATAAAATTTATGGCTCAAATTGCCATGTTTAATGTTTAGTTTTTTGTTTTAATTTGTCAATATTTTTGTGTTATCTCTCAATGTTCTTATTGATTCTTAAAAGCTGTAACCTAGTAGTTATACCTTTGACTAATGTGACTAGGTTATAAATTCTAACCGAATCTGTAATTTGATCATTACATTATAATTCGCAATACAAAAATGTAGAGGTTGAATATTTTAGGGGAAGTAAGACATTTGGTATGAAATATTATTTAACAAAGAAAAAGAAGATCTCTCGATTGAGGTTCAGCGGGATTTCTTTGAAGTTCTCATTCATAAATAAATTGATAAACTGATCTTTTCATCTCAGGTCAGTCTCGGTTAATTGGTCCAAATCAGCCAATTATTGCAACAGCTGAAGAAGACATCACTTTGCCATGTCACCTGGTACCAGGAGAAAATGTTGCTGTAATGACTTTGGAGTGGGCAAGACCTGACCTGGATCCCAGATTTGTACTTGTGTGCCGTGCAGGTCAGGAACTCATATATAGAAAAAATCCATCCTACATAGGTCGATCATCATTGTTCACTGATGAGCTGAAACATGGAAACATTTCACTGAAACTATCCAAAGTAAAACCTGCAGACCAGGGCAGATACAGATGTTACATCCCAGAGAAGGATGAAGAAGTTTTTATTGATCTTGTGGTTGGTAAGTGGATGAATTATATATGTTATGTGTGTACAGAGCAGTTTGGACTAGTATTTGCAATAATGCCTTGATTCAGCCAGTGAGTTACACCAGCTTGGAAAGTGCAGTCTGTATCAGATTCAAATATTACCATTGCATTTTTAGTGATTTGCATTACTGATCAGCATTTTAAATTGTACATTTCATCCAGCGTCAGGTGCTGTCTCCTCACCTGTCATCAGCTTAGCAAACCTTGATAAAGCCATCAGTGGAGTGGTGTTACAGTGTGAGTCTGCAGGCTGGTATCCAGAGCCTGAGCTGCTGTGGTTGGACGGTGAGGGAAACCTCCTCTCTGCTGGACCTACAGAGACCCTCAGAGGTCCTGATGACCTCTATACTGTCAGCAGCAGAGTGACTGTGGAGAAGAGACACAGCAACAACATCACCTGCAGAGTCCAACAGAGGAACACCAACAAGAGCAGAGAGACACACATACATGTTCCAGGTAAATCTAGTTTATAAAATGTATGATATGCTCGATTTTGGTTTGAATGAACAAGAATCTTTTAAAATAACATGTAATTCTGTTTTTATTGTTTCAGATGAATACTTCCAGCTCAACTCCAGTTCTGCTGCTCCCATTATCATTGGTGTTGTTGTTAGTTTGGCTCTAAGCATCATCTTGATTTTAATTGTAGTTTTTTTCATCTGGAGACGAAACAAAACAAGTAAGACACAAATTAATTTACCATCTTGTCAAAATTATTATCTAAAGTTTTGCCTACAGGGGTTAAAGCAACACACATGTAAAGTTATAAACCTCTTTGTGTTGCATTAAAAAGAAAACATACAGCATATTTAATTAATTCATATTAAAATGAGATGATAAATGATGTGTTACCATTCGAAAGCCCAGGAGGACATCATGTTGACTTTCTTGTCTAAACGTTTAACAGATGTCAGGAAACCTCACTGCTTACGAAAAAAACAAGAAACAACAAAAACTGAACCAGACCAAGAGCAGGAGACACTCATGACACAGGACATCGAGCCAGTGAGTGATATGACAGAAACAGACAAGACAACAAAACCTGTAGGAAAAACAGTATGAGAGATTTCATGACTGTGGGGAAAAACTGTTTATAAATAAAATATACAACTTTTTAAAGAAAAGAAAGAGACAACTTTACTGACAATAAAATGAAAATAAAAGAGTTAAAAATCCTCAGAGGAATAATGTGACGGGAAATATATAGTTGCCATCTTCTGCTGTATGAATAGATGATATTTTTTATCCTAATATTCAAATATTTTTTTCTGTCATGTTTTCATTTTACAGAACATTATGTAACAACCTAAATTATTCTGTTCATGTCTTCTCTCAGTCTGGAGGCTCATCAGCTCTCAAAAAACATCAGCAACTGATGGAGAAAAACATGAAAGAGGAGGAATCCAGTAAAACAGAGGTTAGCAGAAGTTTATTAAACACATTTATGCTTCTTGTTTGTGTGAAATATTTTTATACTTTTTATAATCCTGAGGGAGCAGTTTACAGGTCATTGATGAGGTTAAGATTATCAGAATCAGAATCAGAAAGGGTTTTATTGCCAAATGTTGAGCAGGTTTACAACATTAGGAAATTGCTGCTTCTGATTCTGATTATGAAATAGAAAGAACAAAAAAGTTTAGATTATTTGGAACATTTGCATTTTAATTTGTAATCTGAAAACTGGACTGAAACTTACAAAAACACAGACACCAGATTATCAATTATTTTATTTTTATGTTTATATAAACTGTGCATGAACACATGCGTGTTTCTTTTACCATAAAGATATTTATAGAAACACAAATCTTCAGCTTGCTCTCATATTCAGTGACATTATTGGAGTTCAGGGTCAGTCAGAGGTCAGATTTCCTGTTTGAGCGCTTTAAGGAAGAGAGATTTGAAAGCAAACAGAAAGTGTGTGAACAGTTTTGGAGACGTGTTCAGACTGTTATGTTTGACAGTCCAGATAGTTTTGTTCAGGCTGAACCTTTGTGTTGATCTGTTTGTCTGTTAGTTGGAGAAAAAACAGGAAGCTGAGGAGAAGCTGAAGGAGGAACATCATCACCTGCAGAAGAAACATGCAGAGATCAGCAACATGAAGAAAGAAGTAAACACACACAGACTGTTGTTTTGAACACTTCAGCACAAACACACATTCATTTACTGGGATCTCGCTCTGTCCTCAACCATAAACAAACAAACATGCAGCACATTTACATTTATTATTTATTCTATTGGCTTTTTAATGGCAGGAAAGGAAACAAGGACCAAACTGAGTGTGTAAAAACAGATTTCTCTTACAAACACAGACAAAGACTCACATCCACACAATAAGAGACAGCGGAGACAGAAATTCAAGGTTTGCTGCAAAAACCTCTGAAATCATTCAGCAATCACAGAACAGAAGTTACAGCCAAACAACCCGAACATCACAGAGACTTTCTGGACTCTTATTTCTACGTCTTACAGTTCACACTGAAGAAAAAAAATATATATACTTTTTAAACCAAAGTGCAAATTCCTGAAAGGAAACAAAATACTTTGATGATTTTGTACAAAGTGTTTTGGTCAGACTAGTTACCTCTGACTTCAGTCTCTGCTGTCTGTGATCAGGAGGAAAACCAGGAAGCTGACAAGATGTTGAAAGATGATAAAAAACAGGAATTCCAGCAGGAGGCAAAACAACCAGATATCACAGGAGTGGAGAGGCCCCAGAAAACCCCAGAGCATGAGACCCCCAAAAGGACAAACGCACGCACATTTGTGGCCACGAATCAGACAAGAGCAAAAGAGAGCGCTGGATGGAGACACCCAGCAGGCACAGAGCAGAAGCCCCAGGAGTCTGCGGTTACGAGCTCACAGGCTCAGCCAGCAGCCGACTGCACCACAGCATACCGACCTCTGAGCCCAGAGACCCAGGATCCAAGGGCCTCCCACACCCCAACAGGGGCCCATCAGAGCCAGGGGGGCCAAACCCGACCAAGCAGCTGCCAGGTACTTTTGAGATCGACTCAAATTTTGATAAAGTTTACAAAAACATTGACACCAGATTTTAAATGATATAATTTGTATATTCTATATACACTGTACACGAACACATGCATATTTCTTTTACCATAAAGATATTCTCAGAAATAGAAGTGTTCATCATGCTCTCATATTCACTGCATTAGGAAGGTGGATCTACATCTAAAACTGGCTGTGAATGTAGAGACCTTAAAGCAGAGACATGTCCAACAAAGTAATTCAAAAAATTCTCACAAAGTGCAGACGAGGCCTCCACAGGAACAGAGTCACAGGGTTTATCACAGAATTCAAAATGAAAAGAAGTTAAAGCCAAAAACCTGAAAATGCCAGTAACCTTTAGCACTCTTATTTCCACGTCTTACAGTTCAAAGCAAAAAAAAAAATGGAGTCAAAAATAAAGTTGGATTTTTTTAATCTTAACTATTTAACTCTTAATAAACAAGATATCATAAATGTATATTTTTATTATAGCACAAAGTTATGACAGGTAACAGAAATACTTTGATGATTTTGAACAAAGTGTTTTGGTCAGACTAGTTACTCTGACATCAGTTTGTACTGTCTGTGATCAGGAGGAAAACCAGGAAGCTGACAAAAAGTTGAAGGAGGATAAAAAACAGGATTTCCAGCAGCAGGAGAAAAAACCACCCACTAAGGAATTTTGGAAACAGGTAAATACAGACAGACAAACACACGTTTTCAACACTTCACTGACTTATAGTCATTCATGGGTCTAGAATTAAAAACTGCAGATTATGAACATTTCATTAAGAAGGAATTTGAAACTTCAGTTATTTCTATGATTCATATATAACATTGAGTCTCAGCATTGTGTCATGTCTATAACTTAATTAGTTCATTTTTGTTGTTTAACCATTTTCCCATTTTTTAAATAGTTTAACTCCATTTAGGAGTTTATTTCTCGTATTTGGAACATTTGCATTTCAATTTGTAATCTGAAAACTGGACTGAAACTTTGAGAAAGTTACAAAAACACAGACACCAGATTATCAATTATTTTATTTTTATATTTATATAAACTGTACATGAACACATGCGTGTTTCTTTTACCATAAAGATATTTATAGAAACACAAATCCTCAGCTTGCTCTCATATTCAGTGATGTTATTGGAGTTCAGGGTCAGTCAGAGGTCAGATTTCCTGTTTGAGCTCTTTAAGGAAGAGAGATTTGAAAGCAAACAGAAAATGTGTGAACAGTTTTGGAGATTTGTTCAGACTGTTATGTTTGACAGTCCAGATAGTTTTGTTCAGGCTGAACCTTTGTGTTGATCTGTTTGTCTGTTAGTTGGAGAAAAAACATGCAGCTGAGGAGAAGCTGAAGGAGGAACATCATCACCTGCAGAAGAAACATGCAGAGATCAGCAACATGAAGAAAGAAGTAAACACACACAGACTGTTATTTTGAACACTTCAGCACAAACACACATTCATTTACTGGGACCTCGCTCTGTCCTCAACCATAAACAAACAAACATGCAGCACATTTACATTTCTTATTTATTCTATTGGTTTTTTAATGGCAGGAAAGGAAACAAGGACCCAAACTGAGTGTTTAAAAACAGATTTCTCTTACAAACACAGACAAAGACTCACATCCACACAATAAGAGACAGCGGAGACAGAAATTCAAGGTTTGCTGCAAAAACCTCTGAAATCATTCAGCAATCACAGAACAGAAGTTACAGCCAAACAACCTGAACATTTCAGAGACTTTCAGGACTCTTATTTCCTCGTCTCACAGTTCACACAGAAAAAATTACAGATACAAAGTAAATAATAAAATAAATGAACAAGCACAAAGTTTTGAAAGGAAACAAAGTCCGATCATTTTGAAAAAACTGTTTTGGTCAGACTAGTTTCCTCTGACATCATTTTCTACTGTCTGTGATTAGGAGAAAAAGAAGAAAGCTGACACAAAGTTGAAGAAGGATGAAAAACAGAATTTCCATCAGGAGATAAAACAACTAAACGTCACAGAACATGTGAACGAGGTAAATACAGAGAGACAAACACATCACTGACTTACAGTGATTCATGGGACTAGAGCTAAAATCTGGATCATGAACATCTCACTGAGAAAGAATGAAAATGTTTACTTACTTCTGTGATTCATATTAAGACCAACAATATATTTGTGTGTCTTAGCATTAACTCACTTCACTGAATTCTTTGTTATAAACATAGTTTCTTAGCTATTTATTTAACGTTCATTAAATATTTTAGCAACTTTTAGCAAACACATTTTCTAACAAGCTCCAACTATTTTACATCATCATCTGTCACACACTAATCTGGATTTTTTTGTCTCTCTCTCAGCAACAGTCAAACAAACCTAACACACCACAGAGAGGTGACATTATTTTAGACGAGGTCGACAGACATGGTCACTATATCTGTCTGAAAAACTCTTCCAGTGAGGTACTGCTGCTTGCATGCTGGTGAACAATGAGTACTACCTAAAAACAAACAACATGTTTTGTGTTTGTATTCAGAAATATTTCTGAAACAAGGTCGTTTTCACTTGTAGATACAACACAAAGGTGGAAATGACACACTTTTATTTATAAACACAACATCTATGAAGTCAACTTCATCATTGCCCCCCCCACCCTTTTTTCATTCTCTTTTATAGGATATATTGATGGCAGGTTGGAAGTTAAAACTACAGAGCGGCGACCGAATCAGCATATACACATTTAAAGAAAACTTTACACTGAAAGCTAAAGAGGAACTCACTGTGAGTCTCTGTGTTACTAGATTCTTCTTTTAGTCTCTCTTATTATTACTTTTCACTTGGACATCTGTGACCTTTTTATCGGCTACATTTACAGGTACGGGGAGCTGGTGGCAGGAACCCATATCCTGACAATGCTGATGTGATGTGGGTGGGCATGATCATATGGGATTCTCCAGACAAGCTAAAGATCGCCCTCATCAGCAGCACTGGAGAGCGCCACAGGCTAAAGTGATACTAAAAAAACGATTACATCATGTAAACTCATCAGGACTCTTTTGATGAATAAAAGAAAAAAAAAAGAGCAATATTACATTTTATATATTTCATATAATTTAACAGTATTTTTTATTAAATTAACAATATGTAAATAAACAAGGTGATCTTCAATATCAGAATCAATAGATCTTCATTATTCTTTGAGGTGCAACACAAAAACAGTTTTACTGCAAGGGTGTGGATGAAGACGAAGCTTCGCTGTGTCTTTGTAAGCTGAAGATACACGAGTCAAAGCATCACAAAGATAAACTCACAAGATCTTGAGAGAAAAAAAGCATGAATATGTCATTGACCAGTAAATATGTTATTTTGTGTTTTACAACCTTTAGCACAGACACATGTTTTGGTCCTGATATGTGTTATATTCTTATTCTTTTCTTGAACAAAAATATGTTCCACCAATAAGAAGACAGTCTCATGTTTTTTCTCTTTGGATCAGATGAATCCGGATTCTCTCTGAGTGATGATTTTTCAATAAACTCGTGAAAAAAAAACTTTTGAATAACTTCACTAAACAAATTCCCTCTGTGACTGTTGATCAGTTTCTTTTATGTGTGAATGTGTTATTTGTTATGTTGCTCTGTTTTCTAAAAAGTCCCAGCATAAGATGCAGCAACAAAGCTTCTTCTATAGCAGTGTAAATGTGACACACCGTAATGTGTGGTCACATTATGTGATGTTATTTTGTATATTGCACAAGTCTTCAGGTGTAGTTTTGTTAAACAAGGGCCTTAATTTTGTGTTTTTTGTTGGAGCTTCAACATGTGGTGGGATCTGTAGTTACACTAAAAGGGGCACCTCCACCCTAGTGAGATGATTTAGTGTGACACTACTGCTGGTCTTCAGATCTGGCAGAAGCGAGAGAGGAAAACATACTACCTGTCGTACATCTCACCATTTACCTGTTTTGTCAGTACCAGGTATAATTTCTGGCTGTCCACTGAGGGGTGTGTTACATAAACAGTCCTCAGGATGATGCAAATTTGTGTAAAGCAGTTTGTGAAGTCAGCACTTTTTGCCAGCTTTGAGAGAATATATCTGCTCTAATACTTTGCCAATATTAATATTGGGAAATATCACTCAGCCTGTCTGATGACTCACCAACATCAGAGATGCTTCAATTCATCTTCACTATTGTCCTTCATCAGATGCTCAAACACATGTTCATCATGCTGTGAATATACACTACAGCTAAAAATTTAATTTATTTATTTTTTATATCGTTAGCTTCATAGCATAATTGCCTAAGTCATTTGACTAAGTCAATGACTTAGGCACTTATGCTATGAAGCTAACGATATGTAGGTCAGTCTCAGTTATTTGGTCCTTGTCAGCCATTTGTGTTGGTGATGGCATCACATCACACAGTCACTTGAATCCAGCCATTGACATTAACGCTAAAACATGTGAGTGGACGAGGTCTAACCTCGACCCAAACTTTTTTGTGTGTGTGGCGTGCTCCTAGATGTGTTTCTATTGCAGATCTATTTTTAGTGGCAAATGTGGGTGAAACACTCACATTTACATGTTTACAACTGAGCTACAGTTGTACAGAGAGAGATGTTGCAAATGTTTGAAACCCTGAACTTTGAAAGGTTGAGTAAGTGGAAAGAACTTAAAAAAAATCTTGGCTTCCAGTTTTCAATTCTTCCCCTTCTGATATGACGTGATATAATCCGAGTGGTGACACCTATCATTTAGGAGAATACTGCAGTGGATTCTTGCACCTTAACAGCAGGTATAACTGTTGTAAGTTTGGCTGTAAGCATCATCTTGAATTAAATTCGAGTTTGTTTTTTTCCATCTGGAGACAAAACAAAACAAGTAAGATACAAATTCATTCACCATGATGTCTCAGGTATGATCTAAAGTTACATGAGAACAGACATGAAAGGCTGTGTAAATGTTTTTTTTTCTAAACTTCTTTCAGTTTTGTTTTATAAGAAAATTCTTACAGCATTTGAGATGAATTCATTTTAAAAATGAGATAAATGAGAAAAATTAGATGATAAAGGATGTGTTACCATTCTAAAGCCCAGGAGGACATCACACTGACTTTAATGTCTAAAGTTTTAAGAGGTGACAGACCTTACAAAAAACAACAAAAACTGAAACAGACAGGAGCAGGAGACGCTCATGACACACAACATTGTGACAGTGAGTCACGAGATTTCCTATATGTAGAGAAAAATAACGTGTGAAAGGAAAACTGTCATGGTCCCCCGTGCCAGGGTTTTCGCCTCCCTTTGTGAACCCTGGTGACCTCGGACCCCTCTTCCCACACTTGTATGTATCGCACGTGGAAAGTAAAATAAAGGAACTAATCTTTATTATTTCCGTCTGCATCTAAGTCCTTCCTACGGCTTGTGACAAAAATAGATACCTTTTTAAAGAAAAGAGAGAAAACTTTATCTACAGTAAAATAAAAACATAGCAGTTAAAAATCATCAGAGCAACAATGTGACAAGACGGGAAATAAATGTTTGCCACCCAGGGGCGGATCTAGAAGGGTGGCATGGGATGGCAAGTGCCATCCTAAAATAATCTCTTGCCACCCCAAGTGCCACCCTAGTTTTGCATATGACAGTGTTGTTTATTAAAAAAGGATAGCATTAACACTTTGACCATAGTTAGCGAATATAAATGCTAAAACTGGATATATTGCATAGTGTTACCCCCCTCCACCATTAACAAATGGTTGAGCCCATAGCTCAAACCGGCTTTTTTCTTGTTTTCAGTAGCAACTGACGCCTGTGATCGTGCCAGAGCACATTTTGAATCAACATCATGGGCATTTCAGATTTCACACAGGTTGTTAGTTGTTACACTCTGGAAATGGAATTAAAGTGAGTGTTATTAACCCTCTGGGGTCCACGGACACGCTGCACCTCTAAATCACATGACTGACATTTAAGCTGACACAACAACAAGCTGCAGCCACCCTCAGTCTCTATTTCAGCCCATGTTGAAAGTTCGTACTTCAAAGTTTTTAAATTGTAATTACAGGCCAGTAAATCCAGAATTATGATAAAAATTATATAAGCAATGCTTTATTTTAAAATACTGTCATCGTCGTAACGTTTTTTTGTGTGTGGGTTTTGTTTTTTTAAATTTTTTTAACTGTTTTCTAAGGACAACGCAAAAACAGTAAATAAAGAAGTCTAAGGAGCTTGGAAAGAAAAAAACACTTGTTTAAGTTGCTTGAAGACGTTTCACCTCTCATCCGAGAAGCTTCTTCAGTTCTAGGGTCAAATGGTGGAGAGTCCCAGATTTAAACCCAGTGGGAGTATCCCCCCAAAGAGGGACAAAGGACCCCCCAAGCTGCTGACAGAGTGGTGTGCAGCCACCAACCTGCTTCTAAAAACAACAAAAAACTACAGGGGAATTATACCCCACTCTGCATGCATGGAGCTCTGGTAGAAACAGTGGCCTCCTGACATCAGTCCCCTGCTGAACCTTTCCATCCACACTCACTTAATGCTTCTACACTCTTTGTCCCTCTTATCGCTCCCAATGACCTTGATCCTGACTGTCATTCATCCTCAACATTCACCGTATGCTCACATTAGTTTTTGCTATAGTTTAGGACACTGACATAGGATAGTCTCTGTTATAGTACACACACTGTTCACTATTGTAGTCTGCTACGCTTCCACTACTGTAGATATAGTCATAGCACTTTGTAGATCAGTTTCCCACACATCGATACATCTGTATATATGTAGCACATCTGTGTATTTGTTCATAGTACATTTTTATATCTGCCCATCTTGATATCAATATGGAACATCTGTATGCTATACAGCTCATCTTTATATCTGTGCATTTGTCTGTAGTTCATCTGTATATTTGCTCTCTGTATAGTGTTGCAAAATCAGTTTCACTCAGGTTCTTTTTTATTCCTTGAAGGATCCAGAAACGGCACCGGAACTCAGTAGTCATTTCACAAAAACCTTTATTCATCTTTATTCATCTTCATTTAAGCATGCATCTTCTCGAAGGGGAGACGTGCCAGGCCGGTGTCCCTCTGCAGATCTTCATTCCTTTGTCTGTGAAACACAGCTTTATAGAAGTGACCCCATCATAAAACCCCCATGGTGTGCTGCAAACTCTGTGTCTGTGTGTGTATGCACGAGCACGTGAGTGCCTGTGTGTGCGCGTACCCGTGTGTCTATGTGAGTGAGTGTGTATGTCGGTGTGGGTGCGTGGTAACAGTCAAAGCACTGTGTGTGTGTCTCTCTGTACGTGACTTCCTGCCGGTTATAAAAGTAATCTCACCCAAGCTACACCAAATTCCTCTGCACAACAGAGAAAACAGAGTTAACATATTAAAAACACTGAGACCCCCACTCTGCATCCACTGGGTCGTTGGCCTCTTGTTGTCTTACATTTACAGATAAGGTGGAGAGTGAGCACATTCCAGGGTGGCCTTTTGTTGTGGGCAGTCTGAGGTACACCTGTGCACTACTCATGATGTCAGATCAGCATCCTGATGTGGCACACCTGTGAGGTGGGATGGATTATCTCAATATGGCAGATGTGCCCACTACCACACATTTGGACTGATTTGTGACCACTGTTTGGGAGGGATGGTTATATTGTGTATCTGGAATGAATTTTAGGTCTCTACGTCCATCCCATGGGGAATGGGAGCAGTAACAAAGGTGTTGCGTTTATATTTTTGTTGAGTGTATGTAATTGATTCACATCAACATTGATTATAATGCATTGTTATTTTTGTGCAGGGAGAGCAAAAACATACAAACTCCCTCTCAGCTTGTTCGTGGCCAAAAATGGCCACCCCTTGTTTATGTTTACAAACTGCTATAAAATTCATATATATTAAGAAAAATTTCCACTTTTTTTGACTTGATTTTTTAGATTAGCATCAGTGCTGTTCATGAAAATCAAAATTTCATTCAAATTCAGAATTTTAACCCTTTAAATACAAGTTATATCACATAATCCTAGGAACTCATAAATGGAAAAAATCATAAAACCCCATTTTTTTTCCAAATAAAACATGCCATCTGATTTATTTTCTAACCATGATGGAGGTTAGATGTATGGCAATAATTAACAGTATCAATGACTTTTATACATCTTTGTTTTTTCTGTGCAGTGACAGAAAAACGAAAAAAACTCCCTCTCAGCTTGGGCATGTGACCACTGAAGTGAGTCACAAGCCTTTTAACATCTACATATTCTGTTGCAAAAATTCAACAACCCCCCAAGCATAATTTCAGCATGTACACACACACACACACACACGCATAAAGTAGTTTTGATAACATTAAAAATAAATTTGAACGTAATTCTAAATAAAGTTGGACTTTATGCAATCCTTAGAGAAAATATTTAGAAAACAGTTTGAAACAAAATAGGGGTGGGGGGCGCGCGAAATATACAGTACATTTGTTTACAAAACTGATGTTTAGTGTAGCTCTCTTCACGACAACACAGACACAGGTTGGTTCTTTGAAACAGGCGTTTATTACTTGAGCTTTCTCTCCTGAGCTTCACCATCACGCCGATACGCCACTACGCCATGAGAACTGGTCACGAGTGAACATTACAAACCAATTAGCAACTTTACAGTACACATATTAAGTCCAAACACAAATAAAAATATTTCTCAAACGACAACCTGGTTGATTGCTTGTCCTGGAAAGAGGTGCTTAAGTCCTTGTGTTAATTTCTCATTTAAACTTTTAGGTTAACACACTTCATGAGAGACATCTGCTCCCTCGCAGTCCATGAAAAATCTCGTTTACTCTTGTTACGGGTATTCTCACAAGATAATCACTCTTACACTTCACACATGTACAAATAAAGACATTTTAACACAAACTATAAATATTCATGAAATTATATAACATATTATAAATCAGTCATCCACATCATGAAATCTACACAGAACATTTTTAACAGCATTTACGTATACTGTAGTAGCCCCTTTATTGCACGACATTTCCAGTAGTTTACTTTGAAAAAATGTAATGTTTTGTACATTAAAAATTTATATAGCACATTTAAAACCGGAGGTGCGCCAAAGTGTTTCACAAAATCCAGTAAAAGCAGTAATAAAATACAAATAAGCTAACAGGTAGAAGACATAAATTACCTAAACATACAAGATAAGAAGATATCAAATTAAACTGAAAGGTTAAAACAATACAAAACCTTGTCCAAAAAACAGAAGAAAAGTTGTTGCATGATATCTCACTGCATTGAAATTTCCTCAAATGATGACAAGTGTTGTTTGTGCACTGAGGGAGATGCCGCCTTACACCATCACACTGCCTCTCAGAACAAGAATCAATAGCAGAATAAGTTGTTAGGCATCGGCAGAGAAGACTCAACTCTGCTGCTCAACCTACAGATGCGGTGCCATTTAAGGGGAAATAAACAGGCTTGCTGGCTGTATAAGATTTATTACCAAGAAGTATTGTTAAGGCAAATAAATGATCAACCAAACACAAATTCCCCTTTTTTGTGCTAAGTGTATTTATTGTCAGGTTTAACCCAAGCACAGCTGAAAACAGATGTTCAGCCTTTCTTCAGAACCTTTTGATTGGCTCTATTAGTTTTGTTAGTAGATTGCTAGCTCCCATGTCAGGTCTGCTTATTTTTGTCTCACTAATTTGTGTCACTCTTTGCCAGTTTTACTGGTCATTGTTTAAAGAAGCTCACTTCCTCTGTGCTATAGGTTTTTTGTGAGTATCTCAATAGATTAGACAGTAGATTGGATTTGCCACACTTTATAAATCTGGCCTTAATGCTGATGAAGCAGTCACATGTCATCTCAGATTATCTAACACCAGGCTAAAACAGATTATCTGTTTTACTAATTATCATTGATTTTACTTCTCTGGTCAATTTGAAGATTTTTATAAAAAGAATTTGCTGAATTTATAAAAACAGAGTTTTGCAATTTTTAAACTTCTGTTTCTTTGTCAACGATGTTACATAGTTTATACAAAACGTGATTTTTCTTACTTATTTGTAGTTTGCTACAAATAAGTAAGATTCTCTAAAATCCTTTCCAGCACTAGGAGAACCTTTACACATAATTAAAAGCAGTTTAACGAGCACTTTATTTGGCGCCACACTTTAAATATAAATAAATATAAATATAAATTTGCACACAAGGTTTAATTATTTATTGAGTATTTTAGTAATTAGCAGGTAGCCTCTTGACAAAGGCCTGCACAGCTGCCTCTCTAACATAGGACTAATGTGATTGTAGTATTAAGTTACCAGCTGAATGATTTTAAGAGAAGCTGATAAAAGTGAATATTGAACATAAAGTTTGATGATAAGCTGCAGCCAGAACTCAGTCCTCTGATGTTATCACATACAGAAGAAACGAAGAGGAAACTGACAGCATCAATCTGATAAGAAGAGCTCAGTCCATCCTGTTTACCATGGAAATTCAACCATAGATCTACAAACTGTTACGTGGTTTCTGATTTTATCAAAGTAGCGAGAATTTTAGAATTTCTGAGAATTTCTGTTGTAATGGCTCAGTGTCGGGAAAGACTCAATCTCACAATAATTCTTATAGAGAGCTCCAGTAGATTTTCTTAGTGTACAGGCTGTGATTAGCTGACCTGCTGCTTTCTGTGGATGTAAACACCTGAAATCATCCAGATGTGAGCCTATGTTTCATAAGGTGTCCTGGTTGATGTCCATCCTCCACACTCACAGTACACTGTTCATGCTGTCTTTATATTAGATGACCACTGTGCAGCAGTCACACACTGTTCTTTACTTTAAACTCATCACAGTGCAGCAAACTAACCTGTTTATCCTGCATTAACCTGCAGAGGGTTTCATCAGTTTGCCACAATGCCAGTCAGTCACAGGGCTAACACATAGACACCGAAAACCAGTCACCCTCATATTAGAATCACTAGTTAACCTATCCCCACTAACTGCATATCTTTGGACTGTGGGAGGAAGCTGGAATACCCGGATCAGAACCCACACTGACACGGGGAGAACATTAAAAACTCCACACAGAAAGACCAGATATTGCAATCAGACTCAGGAACTTTTTGCTGTGAGGCAACATAGCTGATCACTGGACTCTCCTGTTCCGATAATCATGATGGCTCTGATACATTTATTGGAGCTAAGCTGCTTTAAAAAAAAAATCCAGCTGTTATCAGTGAAACTAAAATATTATTAAAGACCTTACTGTGATATCACAGCTTAAAGCTGCTCACAGTGGAGCCAAAATCAGACAGAGAGAAGGGACACCCCCCCGCCTTTGTGTTGCAGATATACAGCGAGCACAGCACATGTGTCGATCAGAGCAGAGAGACGTTGACCTAGACATGGAAAACCTGCTGCTGCTGCTGCTGCTCCTTCCGTGGAGCTCAGGTAAGATTATCAGCTCTGATTGGCTCACACACCAATATCACCACGACACACATATGAAGGAAAGGAAAAGCTGCACTTTGTCAGTCAAAGTCAGTTTTTCATCTGTTTACAGTCACGTCTTCATTTCATGTTTTATGACTTAACAAACTGCCCTGGTGCCATCCTTTCAGAGCTGCTGTTGGATTAAGTCATCTTTCTGAAGACTTTATCACTTTAAAAAAACAAGAATATTAATAATACAACCCCTGGGCCTGAGTCAGCTCTATAAGTAATTACGATCTGAGGTCTCGGGCCGAAAACCACAGCAACCAGCAGTACAAACAGTTTAAAATCACTGCAGGTTGCAGGACATCCAAACAGGTCATCACAGAAAGGGGAAAAAATCTCTTTCACAAAAATCCTCATTAATCCTCCTTTTGTATCGGAGGAAGTGAGTAAAAGAGCTTTTCTGTTTCAGGAAGAAGTCCCCCTTAAGTATCCACTCCTTTTTCCCCCCGCTGATTCCAGATATTCATCGTCTCTGTTTCCAGTGATCTATTCACCTTTCTCTTGTTTGCTGTGCGTCTTCATTTCCCGATTGCCTGATTTGATTTGTTCTGTGTGAGGTTGGAACATGTCCTGCTTTGCTGCTGTAGTTTTTTGTTCTCACTTTTCTCTTTTTTGGGTTATAGACTAGATGTTCTGTGCTGTTGTATTTTCCACATGTTGGAAGAACGTAGGGATGTGTTGAGCTTCTGAAGCACAGATATTTTGAAGTGCAGTTCAAAACACCCAGGTCACGTGACCATGACAAGTTTTGGTTTTTCTTCACACCAGTCTCAAAAGGTGGTGTACCTGCTGGTTCCAAATACTGCCAGGCTTCACATTTTTATAAAGCAGAGAGATTTGTAATGACAAAATTAATGTTTTTGATATAATTAATTACAGTCCATGTGCAAAACAACACCCTCTCTCTAATTGTTTTTTTTTTTGCTGCAGATTGTGAAAACCAATAGACTTAAACACTGGAGTCAAAAGTGCAATCCAAATTAATATCACATAAATATATTAATAATATATAAATATCTTATTCAAATTATTTCTGGTATATAGACGAGAGAAAGACAGAGATTAATTACAGGTGATGTATTTCTTAACACCTTTGCTTTAGGGCTGGGTTTAAAAAATCTATTTTAAAAGATCTATTGATTTTAGCTTGAGTGATATTGATTCATTAAATCCTGAATCGATTTTTAAACATAAATGTATTTTGCCAGAAATACATTTATGTATTTATGTATTTTTGGGGAAAAAAAGAGAGAGACAGAAATCTCAAGTTAAAGCTCACAAAACTACAACCACCAAACAGCTGAAACAGCAAATGAGAGCTGCTATATGGATTCTGCATAAAAATGTAAACAGAGCATGGATCGTTCACGTACACGCTGTAGAATATTTACGTACTGGAAGTGCTGGGTATACAAATCTGGCCTAAGTCTTTGGTCAGAAAGACTGCAGCAGTCCAGGAGTTTAGTTCACTGTCTTTAATTAAACTGGTTACAGAAGGGCTTGCCATGATAAATCCAACTGTGATGCAGCCAGATGTGAACTTATAATTGTGCCAGATGCAGTATAGGTGACTATAAGCATGGTTGTCTGTAAATAGAAACAGGTAATACTATAATTAGCAGGGTCAAAGATAACTAAGAAACTATCACATGATCTACTCAGACAGAGCAATATTTCACAATGTCCACAAGGCGTCGCCGTAAGACCAGAAGTTGGTTAAATAGCACATATCTTCCCAGTTGCTACAAGCATGTGGCAAGCTAACAACAGATAAACTAAACAACAAACAACAGAAAATCCTTTAACTGCGGGATGTAATCATTGGAGGAGATTCTGGCCACTGGTATTAACTTAGTACAAATTAATTAAATAATTAAGTAAACCTACTAACGCGATATCAGTGTACCGAGGCATAACTTTGGCTTTAGAATGCACAAAAAACTATAATTAATATCATACCAGTTAACACGTCAAAGGTAATAACACTTACAGTTTCATTAACGCACAAGGAATCACACAAACTGCGTTACTACTGCCATGCTCTGCTGCTGCGCCTTTCGTCTCTCACTCTCCCTCTGCGTGATGCGCACATGATCACTGATGCACGCAGTTGGGTGCAATTGATTCTTGCCTCTAGCCATCCTGAGGCTGAGTCAGCACGGAATTTGTACACACACCATCGGGACTGAAAGACGACATTTCACAGATTCTGAAGCTGCAGGTTTCATTGCTCCAACCAAGATTCATTGAATCAGCAGCAAAAGAAGATCAAAATTACACTTCACATTTGAGAAATGTCATCATTAATTACCTCTTACTTTTGCTCTTTTGCTTCCACCACAATAAAATCACATTTCCTGCACAGCTCTTTCTCTCTCTTTCTTAGTGTACTAAGAGACCAGTTTACCATCAAAATCTGTTTTCTCCATTATTCTCTGCTTATTACACACCAGTCTACTGTTGTATTCAGTGCTGTCTGCCTCTGACATTAAAGCCTCGTTTCTGCTGTTTAATACCAAAGAAATTTGAACTTAAAAATTATGCCAAATTGCAAAATGCTTAGCTGTGTCTCTAATAAAACCTCCGTAACTTTGCTCTGCTTCACTTCAGCAGCATCAGGTAATGTGCATGTGCTGATTCATTGTTTTCTTCTGTTTTTGATCTACTGCAGAATATTTTTAAAGGGGTTATCTGCTGTAAAAAGTCGGAACTTGGTTTGAATCCAGAAAGACACCAACAAGAATAAAGCTGATTTTTTTTTAATGATAAAAGTGTCACGGTCCTGGGTCTTATGACCCAGTGTTTTGAATTTCAGTTCTTTTGATGCTGTTAGTGTATGTTCTAGCCTATTATGTTTCCTATGTGCATCTGTTTATCAATTCCCCCTTGTATGTGTCATACCCTGTGAAGTCTCCCTTGCCCTTCGCTTCGTGTGTTTCTTATCTATTTTTCTTATGTTGTTAGGTCTGCGTTTCATTAGATTTCCTGTTTTATTTTGAAGGGTTCCTGTGTCCCTAGGTTCAATGTTGTTACTGTTACGCTCCCCTTGTCACGTCGTTATGTTCATGTGCGTCAGCTGTTTCTCCATGTGTTCCCACTTCCCTCATTATCCTCCTGTGTGATTTAGTCCGTGTGCTTTCAGTCATTCGTTGTCAGGTTGTCTGCTCATCCATGTCTCGTCTCCAGGTACCCATGTCAGTTCACTATGGTTAAGGTTTTTCATGTTTTGTTATTAGTTCACCCAGTTTAGGTTATTGTTTAGTTTTCACCGATGCCCTCTTATTTTGTACCCTCGTTGCTAGCCTCAATAAACGGCTTGTTTTGTTAATCCACACCACGTTTTGGTCTGCGTTTGAGTCCTCCTCTGCAACACATACGGTCTGCCCCAGCCAGATCGTGACAAAAAGCATAGATAGAAATGAATGAAATGATGATCAAAGCTTTAACTAGAAACAAGAACAGATAAAGTGAATGACAAACAACGATCTGAAAGCTTTGAGGACCTCCATGAACTTTTTTGAAAGATCTGGATCCACGTGCTGCTGATAGGGATCATGTGATGTTTGGGGTTCTCCCGGCTGTTTTAGGGTCTCAGCACCTGTGGATGAATGTTGTTGTTAACTATTGCCATATAAATAAAGTTAAGTGACACTTGAAGAGTTTTTTCTTGAGAGTTTTTTTTTCTTAACAGGTGTTGAAATTCGTTCGATTTGCGTAAGAGAAGAAAGCAGGCTGAGTCCAGGTAGATGTCAAAAATAGTGATTTTATTGCACACACTTTGCGCAGAAGTGTGGGAAGAAAAACTTGCAAGACATTCTCCGCAGGGCGGATGCTTTTTCATTCTTATATTACCCTGATGACATCAAGTTAAATCTTACTGGAAATGATATCAGTTTCCCCACAATCCAAAAGTTCTCCTTATATAGACATCAGATGATACTTTTAGAGAAAAACAAGTGTGTGTGCTCTGATGTGCATTTTGTGAAACTGTGAGTCCACCAGAGGCTGTCCCGAGACGACCTCCCTTCACTTAAGAAGTGTGTATGTGAACGTGCGTGTTTTTACATAACTCTGTATGTGCATGTTTGTGTATGCAGGAGGCCCAACTGGACCCTCAGTTTCGAGAGGTGGTGATGAGATACAATGATAGATATCATTTGAGACTGAGTAAAGATTCTACTCAGATTATCATAGATATAAAACAAAGATCATTCTGTCAACAAATTCAACAATGATAAATGATTACTCCATGATAGTTATGATTATATAATGTCACCATAAGAATACAAATTAAAATATCTTTTCTCCACACAGGCTATCTATTAATTGCAAGACAAACATGAAACACTCAAAAAACCATTTAAAATCACCAATTAACCTACTGAGTATGGTGAGCATGCTCTCCTGTGTCAGCATGATGTCTGATGAACAGTACAACGTGAATCTGTCTGAGTCGGATTTATGGGAAACTTTTTTTTCATATTCTAAGAGTTTTTATCCACAGCTGAGCTCCAATCCGAATCTTGCTTCATACTGATGGATTTTCTTTGATTTTTGTTATCAGGAGTCCAGCCTGAAGGAGAAGATATTTCAATAGGTAAACAGAGAACTCAGAAATAAAAATTAAAAAAAACCCCACAGAAGCAGCAGCATTGTTTGACTTTAATGTTTTCAGAGGGAAATTCACCACTATTACTGATGACTCTATGCTTTCTGTTCAGAGCCTGGTGATGTCAGGTTGGTGGGAGGAGCCAGTCGCTGTGCAGGTATACTGGAGCTGAAACATCTGGGAGAATGGAGACCAGTCATTGGCTCATTCTATGTTGTTACTGCGAAAGTAGCAGCTGTCTTCTGTAAACATCTGGACTGTGGCTCTGTTGTTAATGTAGAAAAACAATATGAGTCCACAAAGAGATCTGTGTGGTGGATCGGAGTTTACTATGCTAATTCTGGATCTGCTCTGAGGGAATGTACAAATTCAGATGAATCTTCCTACATTCTGAATGCCACCTGCTCAGGTGCAAGTTAGATAAAAAACACTTCTCACACTGAACATTGTGTTCAGTATGTGAAGGGTTTCGCTAGATTATCTTAGCTCGTAGCAGACTCGCTAGCAGCATGGCTTCTTCAGCTGTCCCTCCCAAGAGTACCTGGCTGCAGCCACTGGGGAGTGGATATTGCGACCTCCACAGTAACCGGAAACACGTAACTTCAGCTAAATCGACTTTGACAGCAAAAACTAAATTGCATTTTTGTTACTATTGATGCTGCTGAGAAATAAACATGGTTCTAAGTGTTTTTTAACACTCTGGGTTTGTTAAAAAAAAAAAGAAAAAAAAACCTCAGCTTGTTCATGGCCAAAAGTGTCCATGTGTTATGTTTTTTGGTTTTGTATCTTTGCTACTTTTTCTGCATAAAGGTTTTTTCATAAATATAAAATGGTCATTACTTTTTACATTTTTAATTCTTCAAACACCTTTTCCTGGTACAATGCACTTGTTTGAAGGTCTGTGAAGGTTCTCAGTCATCCAGGTCATCGTAGTCAAAGGAGCTTGCAAAGAAAAGCGTCTGGACTTCTTTAAGTTACTTGAAGACGTTTCACCTCTCATCCGAGAAGCTTCTTCAGTTCTAAGGTCAAATGGTGGAGAGTCCCAGATATAAACCTAGTGGGAGTGTCCCCCCACAGAGGGACAAATGGACCCCATGATGATCCTCTAATCGCCTGAGCCAAGGTGTGAAACTGGGTGCTGGTCCCAATCAGCCAGAGTTTCGGGTGAGTTCATTGTGAAACCTGACCCCACCTTATCATGCGAATTCCTGACATCAGATGGCCCAGGATGTGAGTGATCGTTCAGGCATCTGGGGAGGGATCTCAAAACTGGATTATAGATGGCAGAGAGTTGGTGTCGTAAACCACCGCTTCTGTTCAAAGATGGTCACTCACAGTGGACATAGATGGCTTCTTTCACTCCTCTTTTAAACCATCTGTCCTCTCTGTCCAAAATGTGAACATTGGCATCCTCGAAAGAGTGTCCTTTATCCTTAAGATGCAGATGAACTGCTGAGTCTTGTCCTGTGGAGGTGGCTCTTCTGTGTTGTGCCATGCGCTTGTGAAGTGGCTGTTTGGTCTCTCCAATGTAGAAGTCTGGGCATTCCTCGCTGCACTGTGCAGCATACACCAAGTCTGTGTTTTGGCGTTTTGTCTTTCGGGTGAACCAGTTTTTGTCTGAGCGTGTTGCTGGGTCTGAAATGCACCGGGATGTCATGCTTGGAGAAAACTCCTGAGTTTTTCTGGTACACCGGCTACATAGGGGATGACAATGTTGTTGCGTCTGTCTTTCTTATCCTCCCTCGCTGGTGTCTGGTCTTCTTTTCTGTGCCTCTTTGCTGACTTTAAGAACGCCCATTTAGGATAGCCGCACGTTTTGAGTGCTTCCTTTACATGTGTGTGTTCCTTCTTTTTCCTTCAGGCTTAGAGGGAACATGTTCTGCCCGGTGGTGTAGGGTCCTGATTACTCCAAGTTTGTGTTCCAGAGGGTGATGGGAGTCAAAGAGGAGGTACTGCTCCGTGTGTGTGGGCTTCCGGTAAACCTCTTCAATGTGCACAGCGCAGTCCAGGAAAGGCAAACAGTTATCCTTTGTGTCTTCCCTGGTGAACTTGATGTTTTTATCCACAGCGTTAATGTGCGCAGTGAAGGATTCCACTTCTTGTGTCTTGAGACACAAGAAGTGCGCACATTAACGCTGTGGATAAAAACATCAAGTTCACCAGGGAACAGTCGCGTCGTTCTGTCATGCTTGGCTGTGTGGCAGGCAAGCAGAAGTGGTGGACCCAAAATTGCAGGACTCTTGGAGATGGGAATAAACTGAAAACGCGGCTTTATTGCTGGAGGAATGATTCACGAAATAAAACTTACAAAAACAAAACTCTAAACCGAGGTGCTTGAGGACAGGACATTACAAACACACAGCAAGTTGAGGGTACGACGTGACCCTGACACAGAGAAACACAGGGCTTAAATACACAGATGACAGTAATCAAGGGATGAGAGACAGGAGGGTAACACACCTGGGAGAAATCACAGCTGACGAGACAGGGGAAACGTAAACTGAGCACACTCACATACGACACAGACCTTCACAATAAAACAGGAAACTCAGACACATGGAACCAAACAAGACATTGAACTAAACAGACAGATTCACAAACAGATGAAGTGACACCATAGACAGACAGATACAGTCGCAGACTCAGAAGCAGACCGAATATAACACGTAGAACTCAAACAATAATAATAATCATGATAATAAATTGGAAAATGATAATAATAAACTTAAAGTGCTGGGTCACCGAACCAGGACCATGACAAGAAGGAGGTATAGGGTCTTCACACACCCCCGTTCTCTGCTGGCCATCGGGCGGGGGGCTAGGAGGAGGTGTTGGCCGTCCGATTGGCCTCCTTGCTGCTGCAGAGCCTGGGGCGGTCTGCTTGCCTACACCGCGGGGGAAAGGGTAACATCTCTTGGATCTAGGTGCCGTTTCCCCCTCTGGGGGTGAGGGTACCTGGACCCGGGGTATAGAGTATATTTGGGGAGTGTGATTGTGTGTACATGTCCATTTATGTCTATCCTTACGTTGGGTGAGTGCTGAGTGTTTGTATATGTGTGCATGAGGGTGGGAATGCATGTTTGTGTCTGTGTGTGCCTGTTTGTCTGTGTCTATATGTCAGGTCGAGTCTTAGACTCCACCTCTCTGGGAACTCCCAGGCCTATCTCCCCTCACCACATTCCCTGCCGGTGACTGATGCCCTCAAGGGTCGGTGCATTGGTGGTTCTTGGTGTCCGGGGCTGGGTGCTCAGGTATGTACCAGCTCACTCCCGGTGGCTACTTGGCGGGGCCTGGTGCCAGGCCTCTTCTGGGGGGGCCCTCGGGCATCCGGCCTCTGGGCCTGCAGCTTGATTCACTCTGGCACAGCTGGCTGCCGGCAGAGCTGGCGGGCATGCCGGTGCAGCCCCCTCTGGCTTCTGCTCTGCGGCTACTGGGTGACCCCTCGTCTGGGGATCTCCTCAGCCCTTCCCAGGAGGGTGGCATGGATGCCCCTCCGGTGGTCCTCCTTGGGCTCTCGTACTCTGGAGCCTCTGGATGTCTGGAGCCTGGATCTCCTCCATGCCTGCTTCATGCCCTGGGGGACGGGGCTAGGCCCTCTACAGCCTCTAGCAGACCATTACATGGGGAAACCTTTTGAATACAAGCGCGCTGATCCACACAGGTGTGCACACGGGTGTTCACTGTTCGTAGACATAAACTACACCTTTCTTGGCTGCTACTTCGAAGCACATTGTGCGCTGTCGGTTCTGCGTGCTGCACAACAACATTCAATATTTAGTATTTACTGCTGTGTACACTTAGCTAGATTCGGTTCGGTGTTTTGTTTTTACTTTTTCTACGTGTATCTGTGTGGATGTGTGTGTTTTTTGTCATTATACATCGAGTAGAGTCCACCTACAGTCGTCAGGACCTTCTGAGTTTGGGATTATGCTGTGCAAGGAGCATTACATCGGACTACCTCCACTTTCACGGCATTCCAGAGGACATAATAAGAGCTCCAGGGTCTCCATGGTTGGTTCTTCCCAGCGGCAAGACAAAGAGGAAACGTAAACAAAGGAGGCAAAAGCGTGGCTGCAAGGTGGGCCCACTAGCACGGCTAAAGAAACAGCCATTTAAGTTACCGCTTCCGAGTATTTTCCTCTCCAACGTCAGGTCCATAACCAACAAAATCGACAAACTGAGATTACAAATTGCAGTCAATAAGTGTGTACGGGACAGCAGCATAATATTACTCACAGAGACTTGGCTGCAGCCATCAATTCCGGACTCGGCTATTGAGCTAGCAGGCCGCACGGTCCACCGTCACGACAGGAACGGCCACTCCGGAAAGATCAAAGGAGGGGGTTTATGCATCTACACCAATGACAGCTGGTGCAAAAACACAAAGACTGTAGACAGCCACTATTCCCCAGATTTGGAATATTTGACTGTGAAGTGCAGACCCGTCTACATACCTCGCGAGTTTACTGTTGTCATGGTAATGGCCGTGTATGTACCACCCGATGCTAATGCTAACTCGGCCATGGAGGAGCTGCACAAGACAATAAGCAACCAGCAGAACTCTCATCCAAACGCAGTGCACATTATAGCTGGGGACTTCAACCATGCTGAGTTAAGGTCAATATTCCCCAGATTTGAACAGCATATTAAATGTGCAACGAGGGGGAAAAACACATTGGATAAAGCCTACAGCAACATCCAAAAAGGCTACAGAGCAACCCCTCTACCATATCTAGGTTTGTCAGACCACATGTCCATGCTGTTGATCCCTGCATACACTCCCATTAGGAGAAGAGCCCCCCCCCCCCCCCCCAGTCACAAAAACTGTGAAAACCTGGCCAGAAGGTGCATCACATCAGCTGCAGGACTGTTTTGAAAACACTGACTGGAGCGTGTTCGAACATCAGGACCTTGAACAGCACACAACATCAGTGCTTTCATATATTAACTTCTGTGTCAACAGTGTCACTGTGGACAAACGTCTCCAGGTGTATTCCAACCAGAAACCCTGGATGACTAAAGAGGTCCAGGTCCTGCTGAAGCAACGTGACGCCGCTTTTAGATCCGGTGATGGTATGCAGTACAGTTCAGCCAGATCTGAGTTGAAAAGAGGCATCAGAGAGGCCAAGGCAGCGTACAAGAGAAGGATCGAAGACCACTTCAGCACCAAAAACTCACGACAGGTATGGCAGGGAGTTCAGCACTTAACCAACTACAAACCTGGCAATACCACGTTGACTGAGGGTAACGCGGAGCTTGCGGAGGAGCTGAACCACTTCTTCACACGCTTTGAGGTGAAGGGACCAGCGGCAGCAGCAGCAAAAACATCGGACAGCAGCAGCAGCCCAAGCCTCATAGTGCAGGAATATGAGGTGAGGCGCACACTGAGGGCAGTGAACCCCAGGAAGGCCACCGGACCAGATGGGGTAACCGCAAAGGTCCTAAAAGAGTGTGCAGACCAGCTGGCTGGGGTCTTCACTAAGATCTTCAACACTTCACTGTCCCAGTCCTGCATCCCGCCGTGCCTAAAGTCAGCCACAATTGTCCCACTGCCAAAGCATACTAACATTAGCAGCCTCAACGACTACCGACCAGTTGCTCTAACACCTGTTATAATGAAGTGCTTAGAGAAACTGGTCCGACGTCACATCATGTCTTGCTTGCCACCCACACTCGACCCACTCCAGTTTGCATACAGAGCTAACAGATCAACTGAAGATGCCATCGCTACAACGCTCCACACCACCATCTCTCACCTGGAAGTGCAGGGCCGTTACGCCAGGCTGCTGGCAACAATAATATTTATATTTATAACAAGGTGCAATAATAATTAATGTGCAATAATAACAGTGTGCAATACACATACACTTATTCTTCTTTTTTATACTAAGTTAATATACTGTGTTGTGTTGTTTGTTGCGTTGTGATGTGTCATATCGTGTCGTGTTGTGTTATATGTAGTGCCAACGCAGGACAGTTTTTCCAATTTCATTGTACTACTGTACTATGTATGACTGTGCAATGACAATAAAGAGTTATCTTATCTTATCTGTTGGTCTTCAGACAACAATTCTGATGGCTTATGAACCAAATGGGACAGGCAAAAAAAGAAAAAAAAAAAAGATCTACTACAATCTCTCTGAGGTCTTTAGTAAAAAGCAAGCCTGTACCCTTCCCCCGCATCTCTCCTGCAACTGCAGTGGTATTCTCTCCCTATCCCCTATCATTCATCTGTTCTCCTTGTCCCCTGAAGAAATCAAGGCCATGAAGGAGTACATTGCAGAGGCTTTCCAGTAGGGCTTTATTTGACCCTTCACCTCCCCTGCAGCCACAGGTTCTTTGTTGAGAAGAAGGATGGGGGCATCCATTCCTGTACTGATTATCAGGGTTTAAATAAAGTCCCCATCAAGAATACCACAGTCTTCCTCTGCTCTCGACCACACTTGACTCCCTCTCCCAGCCCCAGGCTAAAGCCTCCAGACATTCCCCATTGATCAAGCAGGTCCTTCCGGGACCACTGGTTCACCACTGCCCCCATGCTACTCCATCGATTCTGCTAAATCATTTGCGGTGGAGGTGGAGCCCTCCGATGTGGGCACTGGCGCCACACTCTCTCAACAAGGTCCAGATGGAAATAATCCACCCATGCTGCTACTTCTCAAGAAAATTTTCCCCCATGCAGCAAAGAGATGGCATCGGGGAGAGGGCTTTAGAAGAGTGGTGGCATTGGGTTATGGGAGCAAAAGAACCTTTCCTGATCTGGACCAGTCTTCAGAACTTCAGAACTCAATCCCAGGCAGGCTTGTTGTGCCCTCTTATTCGAGTCCTCCAACCTTCACCTTGCCTACCATCCTGGTGCCAAGAATGCTAAGTTGGACACCCTCTCCAAACAGTTTTCCTAGGTCAATCTTACGCTGGAGCCTTGCCCGGGTCGTAACACCCGCGAGTTTGTATCTGCTTGTGACATTTGGGCCTGTGCCAAATCCTCCAGCCAATCTTTTGCTAATGACCTTCAGCCCCTCCCTGTTTCCACACATCCCTGGTCTCACGTCAGTCTTGATTTTGTCACCAGTCTTATGCCAGTGCATGGTCTCAACATTATCCTCACCTTTCTGGATCACTTCTCTTAGGCAGTACACTCGGTTGCTTTATCTTTCTAGGTACCTGGGTGTTCACCTGAATAATAAACTGCCACAACACTGATGCTCTTTACAGGAAGGGTCAGAGCAGACTCTACCTGCTGAGGAGGCTGAGCTCATTTGGAGTCCAGGGAGCGCTTTTAAATACCTTCTATGACTCTGTGGTGGCATCTGTCATTTTTTACAGTGTTGTATGTTGGAGCAGCAGTTTATCGGCAGCTGAGGAAGAGGTTGGATAAACTCATCAGGAAGGCCAGCTCTGTTCTGGGATGCACCCTGGACCCAGTGCAAGATGGCGCCGGTGAGGTCGGCTGCCGTCACGACTGCTCCGACCACTTTTTCTTTGTCTTTATTTTTTAAGTTAGTTTTCAGCATTTCTAAATAGGCAAAATCATCACCATTGGGTACATTAGGTATGACAGTGACACTCTTGTTTCTATTGGTATACAATGTACTCACAATTCGAAGTTTTTAACTCCGGATCCGAGCTGGCCGAGTGAGATCTTGAGGGAGAACAAAGGGAAGCGGCAGCGGCGGCCTAGAGGGAAGCGAGCCAGCGTCAGGAACAGGCTGAGAGCTCGTGCACACTGCACACCTCTGCCTAGCATCCTGCTCGCCAACGTCCAGTCACTGGAGAACAAGCTTGATGACCTCAGGGCCAGGATAAAGTTCCAGAGAGACATTCGGGACTGCAATCTCCTCTGCTTCACCGAGACATGGCTGAACCCAGCGGTGCCGGACCACGCCATCCAGCCGGCCGAGTTCTTCTCGGTTCACCGCATGGACAGGACACGGGACTCGGGGAAGTCAAGGGGAGGCGGCGTGTGTTTAATGGTGAACAACAACTGGTGCAACAGTGCGAACGTTGTTCCTCTCACACGCTCCTGCACACCAAATCTGGAACTACTGTCCATCATGTATCGTCCTTTTTATCTACCTCGAGAATTTACATCGGTCATTGTAAGTGCCGTTTATATTCCACCACAGGCGGACACGGTCACCGCCTTATGCGAGCTGCATGAGGCACTCACACAGCACCAGACACAACACCGGGACGCTGCGCTTGTGACGGGGGACTTTAATAGTGCCAACCTCAAATGCGCAGCGCCGAACTTTTATCAACACATCACCTGCCCCACCAGAGGTGAAAGGACACTGGACCACTGCTACACTACGGTCAAGGACGGCTACAAGGCACAATCCCGCCCTCCGTTTGGCAAATCCGATCACGCCACCATCTTCCTCTTGCCAAAATACAAACAAAGGCTAAAACAGGAAGTTCCAGTTCAGAGGAAGATCGCGTGCTGGACGGATCAATCGGTGGCCACGTTAAAGGACGCACTTGACGCACATTGTTCCTGTCTCGAAGAAACCCCACCCTGCTTCTCTCAATGACTATCGCCCTGTAGCCCTCACCTCAGTAGTGATGAAGTGCTTTGAACGCCTGGTCAGAGACTTCATCATTTCTTCACTACCAGACACACTGGACCCACTACAGTTTGCTTACCGTCCAAATCGTTCCACAGACGATGCCATCTCTCATCTCCTCCACACATCACTTATTCACTTGGACACTAGAAGGGGGAATTATGTTAAAATGCTCTTCATAGACTACAGCTCTGCATTTAATACCATAATTCCCTCCACACTCACCACCAAGCTGGAGCATCTGGGACTCAGCTCATCTATGTGTCAGTGGATCTCCAACTTCCGAACTGGCAGACCACAGGCAGTAAGGATGGGCGGACATGTCTCAGCCTCCACCACTCTCAGCACTGGAGCCCCCCAGGGGTGTGTTCTGAGCCCCCTGCTGTAATCTCTGTACACATATGACTGCGTGGCCACTACCAGCTCCACCACCATCATCAAGTTTGCTGATGACACCGTCGTGGTGGGCCTGATCTCTGATAACAACGAGACGGCCTACCTGAAGGAGATTAGGAATCTGGAGAACTGGTGCCAGAGGAACAACCTCCTTCTAAACGTCAGTAAGACAAAGGCGCTGATAGTGGACTTCAGCACTAAGCAGGAGAGGAACTACCAGACCCCTGTCATCAACGAGTGCCCAGTGGAGAGAGTGGACAGCTTCAAATACCTCAGAGTTCACATGTTGCAGCTTAAGCAATGCATTACATCTCTACTAGCACCACCCTCTCCAGCCCATGGAATAATCTGTGAGCGTTTCCTGCTCGTGACATCCAGTAACACTGTGAGGAGCCTTGGAGTCATTTTTGACCAGGGTATGTCTTTCAGCGCACATATTAAACAAATATGTGGAACTACTTTCTTCCATTTGTGCAACATCTCTAAAATGAGCAAAATATCCTGTCTCAGAGTGATGCTGAAAAACTAGTTCATGCATTTATTACTTCTAGGCTGGACTACTTTCCTAAAAACTCCCTGAAAAGACTACAGTTAATCAAAAATACTGACAGGGACTAGAAAGAGAGAGCATATGTATCCTATTTTGTCTTCCCTTCATTGGCTCCCTGTTAAATGCAGAATCAAAGGCTAAATACATCAAATAATCAGGCCTCATCTTATCTTAATGATCTTGTAGTACCATATCACCTCATTAGAGCACTTTGCTCTCGCACTGCAGGCTTACTTGAGTATTTAAAAGTAGAATGGGAGGGAGAGTCTTCAGTTTTCAGGCCCCTCGTCTGTGTAACAAGCTTTCAGTTTGGATTCAGGAGACAGACACTATCTCTACTTTTAAGATGAGGCTACAAACTTTCCTTTTTACTAAAGCTATAGTTAGGGCTGGATCAGGTGACCCTGAATCCTCCTTTTGTTATGCTGCAATAGGGTTAGGCTGCTGGGGGATTCTCATGATGCATTGAGTATTTCTTCTTCAGTCACCTTTCTCATTCACTATGTTTTAATAGACCTCTCTGCACTGAATCATACTTGTTATTAATCTCTGGCTTTTTTTCCACAGCATGTCTTTTATCCTTTATTCCTTCTTTCGCCCCAACCGGTCACGACGGTCGCTCTCGCTGGAGGTTTCTTCCTGTTAAAAAGGAGTTTTTCCTTCTGTCGCCAAAGTGCTTACTCGTAGAGGGTCATATGATTTTTTTGGTTTTTCTCTATATGTTTTATTGTAGGGTCTACCTTACAATATAAAGCGCCTTGAGGTGACTATTGATGTGATTTGGCGCTGTATGAATACATTGAATTGAATTGAACAAACAAAACCAAATCCAAAGAACTGCAGCACACTCAAGTTTCAGTGAAGCTATTAAAAATGATTTCAACTGAACAAATCTCAGAGTCACAAAAAAATCCTTCATCTTAGAAAATCCTTTCACTCCATGACCATTTCAGCATTTTTCCTTCTAGACAGCTTAATTTAGGTTCTCACTGATCTACAAATAGGATAAGATATTAGAATAAGGAAAGATGAACATTATCTTTCACAAAGCTGAAAAATGCCCGTGTTAAAGAAGCCAAAACATGAAAAACACAGTAAAATAAAATATCACAGAAAAAAAAATCAGAGACAGGTGAAAACCAGGTAAAATATCAAGTTTTCACAAATGGAAAAGAACAAAAATGTAGGGCTCACTAAGTGTAAAATTAAATATAATCCAGTAAGCAACTGAAAAAGTAAATCCATCCATTTGCTTCCCCTTTTCAGGGTGGGATACACCCTGGACAGGTCGCCAGTCTGTCGCAGGGCTAACACACAGGGACAGACAACCATTCACACTCACATTCACTCCCGCATTCACACCTATGGGCAATTTAGATTTTTCAATTAACCTATCCCCACAAGCAGCATGTCTTTGGACAGTGGGAGGAAGCCGGAGTACCCTGAGAGAACCCACGCAAACACGGGGAGAACATGTAAACTCCACACAGAAAGACCTGGGCCTGATGGTGGAATTGAACTCAGGACCTTCTTGCTGTGCGGCAACAGTGCTAGGATGAGAACTTGATCAGTTTCATATTCACAGATTAAATGTTTTCCTCTGAGAACCACCTTGTCCACTTGGAGTCCTCACACTGTTTTGTGGATAAGGCTTGAAGGTTAAAGCCAGCCAGGAACAAATCAGTGACTAAAGCATGGCTAGGAGTGGAGGTTACTGGGAGTGCTGACACATTAGCAGCACCGTTATAACAGTGCTGTTATAACGGTGTATTACGTTGTTAATGATGAATTCATGTTGTAGTGGTGCTGGGTTAGAATCAGTAAATGGTTCTTATATAGCACTTGTTTTATAGCACACAACTTGTACATTGACCCATTAACACAAGCACATTTTTTGTCTTTGCTGTTTCTAAGTGCTTACTATCTAACATTCATACACATTCAGAGGAATATGGGCTCCAGTCTTTGCATGCCAAAAGGATATTTGGCATGCAGACTGGAATCAAACCACAAACCTTCTGGTTACTAGGCGACCTGCTCTATCACACGAGTTATAGCCACCCCGTCAATTGGGAGTGAATAGTTGGTTGCTGCCATCTTTTTCTTGTGTGTCTGCTGTCTCTGATCTCTATGTTTGATCTTCTCTGATCTTTGCAGACTCTGTCAGGCTGCTGAATGGTTCCAGTCTGTGTTCAGGCAGACTACAGGTGAAGTCTAACCAGAAATGGTCCTCAGTGTGTGAAGCTGACTTTGACCTGCAGGATGCAGAGGTGGTCTGTAGGGAGCTTGGCTGTGGGCCTCCTTCAGTCCTCCAAGGGGCGCTCTATGGAGAAGTGGAGGCTCCAGTGTGGGGCAAAGAGTTTCAGTGTGAAGGCCTTGAGTCTGCTCTCCTGGACTGTAGAAGCTCAGGCTCAGCTAGAAAAAACTGCTCGCCTGGCAAAGCTGTTGGACTCACCTGCTCAGGTAGAAGAGGAGCTGCAGCTTTGATCTGGTTCTAACTCACTTTATCATTTTACTTATGCCACTCTGTTTTCTATCCAGAGCCTCTCGGGCTGGTGGGAGGAGCCAGTCGCTGTGCAGGTACACTGGAGTTCAAACATCTGGGAGAGTGGAGACAAGTAGCTGGGTTTTACTCTAAAAGGACCCTGAAGGAAGCAGCTGTTGTTTGTGAACTTCTGGACTGTGGCTCTGCTGTTTATACAGGAAATACAAACAGGTTACCATACAAAGCCAAAAGTGTGTGGTTGATGAAACCTGAGTGTCTCCAGTCAGGCTCTGCTCTGAGAGAGTGTTTAACATCACATGTTGGACCTCCATATGGAGTACATATTATGACAGAATACCGTAGCCACATGGATCTCACCTGTTCAGGTAAGCCTATCAGTGATATCAACATCATCATCATATCAAGGTTGGTAGGGTAGACAATGGGTGTTTTCTGTTAATCTAAAATCTGCTTTCTCACATCCTCTCCCTTCCTGTCACCTGTAAATCGTTCCCTTTTCTCCAACATGATGGATCATCCACTTCCTTAAATGCACCTGGAGGAGATGAGATGAGAACACAGGTCTATTCTAAATGGGAATTTTGGAATTTGTTTTCTTTAATTAGGTTCAACACCCACCTGCAGCTTCCTGCCAAACAAGAACTCAAAGGAAGAAAATCCCAGCTATCCCAGTTGTGTTCATCCTCATGAATGAACTTGTGAATCATGGACTTTAAAGTCTTATTCAGCTACTCCACCACCCCGTCAGTCTGCAGGTGGTAGATGCTGGTCTGTAGAGATTTAATGTGCAGTAATTCATACAGATCATGTGTGACACATGAACATTGCCGTGGTCAGTCAGTATCACTTTTGAGACGCTGGCTCGTGAGATGACCCGAAATTGTGCCTGCACCACAGGCTTTGCAAAAATGATGGGCATGGGCACTGTCTCAGGATATTGCATTGTATAATCCACCAGAACCAATACAAAGCAATATTCCCGTGCACCCTGGTGAAATGGCCCAATGAGGTGCATGCCATTTCACTAAACGTGACCTCCATTGACGGTAGCAGGCACAAAAATACTTTTGGTATGGGTGTTTGGCTCACAAGTTGACACACAGGGCTGGACACAGACCATCCCCCTAGATGTCCAGCTAAGAAATTCCGGCCATGTTCACGTCAGCGTTTTGTCACATCACTGCCGTTGGGTTATGATGAGCAGCCTGGAAAATCATTTTTTGGCCCTGGTGGGTGGTTGCTGAAGAGAGTTAAGCTTGGACATCGTGGTGCACTTATCATCATGACACTCACCTGGTTGGCAGAGTTCCCTGCTCTCCACTTTCCAATGTACTCCATGCCTGGCTTTTGTGATTAAAGTGATTAAAGGCTTATGTTTTTATGTGAAAATATTTGCGAATTGAGTCAGCTTTGGGTCCCTTCTACGTACCGGCCATTTGATAAGTTGTTTGCTGCCATCTTTTTCTTGTGTGTCTGCTGTCTCTGATCTCTCTGTTTGATCTTCTTGTGATCTCTGCAGACTCTGTCAGACTGCTGAATGGTTCCAGTCTGTGTTCAGGCAGACTGCAGGTGAAGTCTAACCAGAAATGGTCCTCAGTGTGTGAAGCTGACTTTGACCTGCAGGATGCAGAGGTGGTCTGTAGGGAGTTTAGCTGTGGGCCTCCTTCAGTCCTCCAAGGGGCGCTCTATGGAGAAGTGGAGGCTCCAGTGTGGAGCAAAGAGTTTCAGTGTGAAGGCCATGAGTCTGCTCTCCTGGACTGTAGAAGCTCAGGCTCAGCTAGAAAAAGCTGCTCGCCTGGCAAAGCTGTTGGACTCACCTGCTCAGGTAGAAGAGGAGCTGTATGGGCTCAAAATGTGGTCATGAATATTTTGTACTTGTAAATCAGGATTTGTATGTGTAAAAAGAATTTGTGTGTGCGTAAAAAAAAGATTTGTGTGTGGACTTAGCCAAAAAAAACCCTGCAATTTACAAGTACGAATTTTGACCCTATTTTTCTTCCTTTCGTCTGATTGGTGAATGTCATGTCAATAACAAATGTAACAATCCAATCAGAGAACAGATGGGTTTGGCTGCGGAGGGGTGCTTTTTTTTGAACTGCAGGTCTTTGAAGGGAATAAATGCCCTTTTACATGCCAACCCAGCGTTTTCCTTCATCACCACGAAGGAAAACAGACTGTGGTCATCCGAGTTTGGTGATTTTTGTGTCACAGGACTACATGTTTAATACAAGGACTTCCACAGCCTTTTCAACAGCGCTGCGGAGCGTGGGTGGTGGTGGGGGGGCAGTGTTTTGGAAATGACAGTCTTCATTATAAAGCTTTCTTCGTTATGAATTAGCATACATGTTTTTATTGAACATTTGAAGAACTAGCAAAAAAGAACAGAAACTCTTGTAGAGGACATAAAGTCAGAGATAGAAACGACAAGGAGCAGGTGCATCTAGTACAGGTAGAGCTGCTGAAAAAACCCACAGAGCCCAGCAGCCAGCGCAACAAATTCTGGATCCTTTGCTTTTAGTTAGCATTAGCAGCACATCCTGCGTCCGATGTGAAAGGACTTTTATGCTGCGCACTGTGACACACAGCAATGGTCCCGGGTCAGCCCTGACTTTGTGTTAAACTAATCCTAAACTAATAATGGTATTTCTAACCACTGACATACCACAACTTTATCCTTTCAACAGCTGCTGAAAGTTAGGGGACCTAACCGCTATCAGATATTTATATAGAGATTACCCTTCAAGGACCTGCAGTTCAAAAAAGCACCCCTCCGACAGCCAAACCCATCTGTTCTCTGATTGCATTGTTACATTTGTGATTGACATGACATGGACCAATCAGATGAAAGGAAGAAAAATAGGGTCAAAATTCATACTTGTTACTTGCAGGTTTGTTTGTTTTTTTGGCTAAGTCCACACACAAATCTTTTTTTTAACGCATACAAAACTGATTTACAAGTACAAAATATTTATGACCACATTTTGAGCCCATAGGAGCTGCAGCTTTGATCTGGTTCAAACTCACTTTATTCTTTCATTAATGACTCTCTGATTTCTGTTCAGAGTCTCATGTCAGGTTGATGGGAGGAGCCAGTCGTTGTGCAGGTACACTGGAGTTCAACCACCAGGGAAACTGGAGACCAGTATCTGGTTTTGGCTGGACCCTGAAGAAAGCAGCTGTTTTCTGTCAACATCTGGGCTGTGGCTCTGTTGTTTTTGTAGGACAGAGAGAGAACTCCTTATCGGGAGATCATGTGAACATCAACCCTGACTGTGTTCATTCTGGACCTGCTTTGGAGGAGTGTGCAACATTAGGTTCCTCCATTTACAACTTGGATCTCAAGTGTTCAGGTAAGCCTATTAATGATATCAACTATGACATCATTGGAGCTGTGTAGCATGGACAAATGGTGCTTTTTATATTGCTCTATCCTGCATCCTCACATTAAGTTGCAAACAGTTAAAGTGACTGAACATCAGAACTAAAAACACTGATCCTTACACGAACTAGAAGATTTAAAGGAAATATGAAGTAATTATTAAAAACAACAAAAGTAATAATGTTGCTAATAATCAGCTCTGTCAGTCAGGTCACTTCTCTAAATGAATAAAGGCCTGTTGGATTTTATTGGCTATCAGAGAAGACACTGTGTGACTGGTAGTTGGTCTGACAGCCGATCTAGCTGTGCAGCACCTCATAACTAACTGACATCTCTTCACACTGAAGCTCTGGAAGCAAACACATCTTATTTGGAAGTTGCAGCTCCTCTGTCCTCACATCTCTGTCACATCCTCATTGAGAGTGACTGGGATTTGAGGAAAGGATGGAAGTGAAAGAAGCAAGGAGACCCCATAGCATGATGACAAACAGCCTAAGGCTTGAGCCCAGTAAAATTCTGTTTGATAATTGCACCTGTTTTTGTTGTCACTTTTTTGTTTGCCCACTTTTATCCACTTTTATTCAGCTGCGTATCTGTTACCATTGTGTGTTTGTGCTTTTGATTTATTTTTGGACCTCTGACTTTTATATGCTGAAAGTTTGAATAAATAAATAGTTGTTTGCTGACATCTTTTTCTTGTGTGTCTGTTGTCTCTGATCTCTGCAGACTCTGTCAGGCTGCTGAATGGTTCCAGTCTGTGTTCAGGCAGACTGCAGGTGAAGTCTAACCAGAAATGGTCCTCAGTGTGTGAAGCTGACTTTGACCTGCAGGATGCAGAGGTGGTCTGTAGGGAGCTTGGCTGTGGGCCTCCTTCAGTCCTCCAAGGGGCGCTCTATGGAGAAGTGGAGGCTCCAGTGTGGAGCAAAGAGTTTCAGTGTGAAGGCCTTGAGTCTGCTCTCCTGGACTGTAGAAGCTCAGGCTCAGCTAGAAAAAACTGCTCGCCTGGCAAAGCTGTTGGACTCACCTGCTCAGGTAGAAGAGGAGCTGCAGCTTTGATCTGGTTCTAACTCACTTTATTCTTTCATTAATGACTCTCTGATTTCTGTTCAGAGTCTCATGTCAGGTTGATGGGAGGAGCCAGTCACTGTGCAGGTACACTGGAGGTGAAACACCTGGAAGAATGGAGACTAGTGCATGGCTCTGACTGGACCCTGAAGGAAGCAGCTGTTGTTTGTGAACATCTGGGCTGTGGCTCTGCTGTTTATGTAGGAGAAATAGAAGAGTTCCCATACAGATTCGTGTGGGAGATCAAACCTGACTGTGTTCACTTTCAATCTGGTCAAATAGAGTGCGCAAAATCAACTGTTGTATCCTCCATCCTGGATCTCACCTGCTCCGGTAAGGTTCAGTGACATCATCAATGGCATAATCAGAGCTGGGTCCAGTAGATGTGGACTACATTTAAATGATCAAAACATCTACCTCTCATCTTTTCCTACCCACTTTTAGTTGATCTCAGTGAACAGTGAACTGTCTTGACATCAAAGACAGTTTGTTGGAGAGTTGATTAAGAGTTGGGAAAAGATAAGAGTGGTATGCAGAGACTCCACCTGCATTGACACTTGACTCCTAAATGTCACTGACTACAACGTCCAGACGCAGAACTATAAATTGCATGTCTTACTTCAGCCAGATATATTTTACCTCTGTTATTTGATGCATGTTAACTTAATGAGAGCAGCCTGGGAAAATTATGCCTTCATTACAAAGGCCAGAATTTTAAAGGAAAATTAACATAAGGGGATAGATTTACTGCAGCAGAAGAAAACACGAGTTGGTGTTAAAAACCTGCTGTGAGGATCTACCTAAGAGGCACACTACCAGTGGCTGAGAGGATGGGCCTGTTTCTCAGGCTGGCCTTACTGCAAAAGCAGGAGTTTCATTTTCAGAGCACAAAATCTAGGGAGGAAAGTACCTAAATGAATCAGGCACAGTGAGACATATTCAGGTCTGCAAAAAGCTGTTGCTTTTATTGTTCATTTATTTAGAATAAGAGTCCGAGATGTTGTCAGAACAAGTGTGTAATTATCAGAGGTGGATGGTTCAGAGCCGTGAGCACAGGGCCAAAACTGGCTCTGTGCTGTAGATCTTCACTCTGTAATGCTGGAAATTCACAGAAAGGCTTCATCGTGTTAGTGCTCTTCTGCACGCCATACAGCTCAGCTGCTCCACATCATGCAGCTGTCCTCTGATTAACCCTGATCTCGAACTGAGTCTTCTTCCTTAGGACTTCACACAGTCCCAGCAGTTTCTACCAGCATAGTTCTCCTGATACCACAAACATGATGATCCTCCTTCAGCCTCATCTCATTAATCTGAGCTGCATCACTGTTTTCCACACAACAGTAAAACCTGAGCTCACACTCCTGCATCATTCTCTCCCTCATTGGCTTTGCTGGTTTCTGAGCTGCTCTCTGCAGATTGCTGGTTATTCCTGAAGTGAACTGGCTGCTGCTTGTATGGTGATGGTGTACTGTAAGTAGAACACCCTGTGACTGCAGTATCACAGTAATTTACCCCAGTTAGTAAATCTGCCTCGTAGCCAGTAAAACATTCCTGCTGCAGAGATGATCCAGTTCGAACTCGTTTCCTCCTCGTTTAGGATTTCTGTGACCTATATGCTCACTGATCCCAGCTGACCAAGAGTAAACATGAATCCATGATCATCATGTAGGCTGACTCACCTCTGCAGACAATACAGATGCAGACTGGATCATCCAGAACAGAAACATTCTGACCAGCTCACAGGGCTCATAATCAGACTCAGAGTTTCTATAAATCTACATTCTTTACATGCAGCAGTAACAGTTACCAAATGTTTTTCCAGCTGTGTGATGTTTGATTATGCAGATCTGAATCATGCAAACAGATAAACATCAGACCTAATAACACTGATCTTTACATGAACTAGAAGATTTGAAGGAAATATGAAATAATGAAAACAACAACAGTAGTAATGCTGCTAATAATTAGCTCTGTCAGTCAGGTCACTTTTCTAAACAAATAAAGGCCTGTTGGAGTTTATCAGCCTATCAGAGAAGACATTCTGTGATGTTGGTAGTCGGTCTGACAGCTGATCCAGCTGTGCAACACGTTATAACTAACTGGCATATCTTTGCACTGAAGCTCTGGAAGCAAACATTTCTAATGTGGAAGCTTCAGCTCTATCTTAAGCTCCTTTAGCTTTTTTGTTGGACCTCTGACTTTTATATACTGAAAGTTTGAATAAGTGAATAGTTGGTTGCTGCCATCTTTTTCTTGTGTGTCTGCTGTCTCTGATCTCTCTATGTTTGATCTTCTCTGATCTTTGCAGACTCTGTCAGGCTGCTGAATGGTTCCAGTCTGTGTTCAGGCAGACTGCAGGTGAAGTCTAACCAGAAATGGTCCTCAGTGTGTGAAGCTGACTTTGACCTGCAGGATGCAGAGGTGGTCTGTAGGGAGCTTGGCTGTGGGCCTCCTTCAGTCCTCCAAGGGGCGCTCTATGGAGAAGTGGAGGCTCCAGTGTGGAGCAAAGAGTTTCAGTGTGAAGGCCATGAGTCTGCTCTCCTGGACTGTAGAAGCTCAGGCTCAGCTAGAAACAGCTGCTCGCCTGGCAAAGCTGTTGGACTCACCTGCTCAGGTAGAAGAGGAGCTGCAGCTTTAATCTGGTTCTAACTCACTTTATTCTTTTACTGATGACTCTGCTTTTTATACAGCGCTTATTGATGTCAGGTTGGAGGGAGGAGTCAGTCGCTGTGCAGGTACACTGGAGGTGAAAGTGAGAGAATGGAGACCACTGGCTGACTATGGTCTCCCTTTTCGAGAAGATCTTATCTGCGAACATCTGAACTGTGGCTCTACTGTTTCTATAGAATATAGACACGATTTCTCATACAGTTCTGTGTGGAAGATTAAACATCACTGTATTGAATCTGGATCTACTCTGAGAGAGTGTGTGAGATCAAAAATATCAGGAAGATCACAAATAATTCCAGGAACATATGTATTAGACAGTGTCTCCTTTCTGGATATCACCTGCTCAGGTAATGATAAATGACATCATGTACGTCTGTGATGTTCCCATTGTGTTCCTTCCCCAGTTACAATGATGCTCAGCAGTTTCTGTTGGACTGAATTGTAAAGTTTGTGGAAGTTTCCACAGACATCACTTTCTCTTTCTTGATTGGAAATTTCATTGTTTGTGTGTATTTACAGAAGTGCTGGTTCAGCCAATCATCTCTGTGTCTTCCTCCATGGATGTGGTGTCTGAAGCCCAGCAGCATTGGCTTCAGGTTTTTAGAGGCTCCAGCTTCAACATCAGCTGCTCCATTCAGCCACAGTACCCTGGAGGCTTCTTCCAGCTCACCTTCACTTCCTCCACCACATCATACAACTACACCCAGCCAGCTGTCAATCACTCTTCCCACTTCCTGTTTCCTGCAGCAGACCCCGCCCACCAAGGAAGTTACAGCTGTCTTTATCACGTACATGCTTTGTCACATAGCTTCTACTCTGAAAGCCACCGGCTGTCTGTGTCTGTCTCAGGTAAGCTGAAGCAGAAACTTACACATTCTAAAAAAACAAACTTATAGAAAGTATTTAAACCGGAGCAGAAAGTGCAAGACAGAGCATGTTTCGTTACCACTGTAACTGTGGTCACTCATTAGTGGATTTGTTCATGTCCAGAGGATCATTATTCTGCTAAAATGTCCTCTTCAGATTCAGCTTCAGCTTTCACACAAATGATCTGACATTATCTCCCAGTTCTCTTTGATACAAAGCAGAGTTGAAGAAAACACTGAAAGATGTCCAGTCTCTGAGGCAGCGAAGCAACAGTAAACCATAACATGTCAACCTCCATGCTTTACAGTGGCTTTCAGCTTCCTCTCCTGTAAATCTATCTTTGGTCTAAATCAAATATGTCTGCTGTCACTGTGGCCAAACACCTCCATCTCTGCTTCCTGTGTTCAGAGCACATTATTCCTACTCTGTGACTGATGATCTTTGAGAAACTGTACTTTGTCTCTGATGTTCTTCTTGGACAGTAATCTTACAGACACAACAAGCAGCTCCATGTGGAAGTGATGCTCAAAGATTTCACTGCAGTTTGTGTTTAATAGCAGCTGTTGGACTCATGATGACTGTGAATGTGTTTGATCAGATCCTCCAGATCCCACTGGTTTCATCATCAGAGCGGTCGTCCTACCACTGATTCTGCTGCTGGAGAACGTTGTCCTGTATTTCTACTGTAAGGTACTGAACATATGTTTGTATCTGACAATAAAGCCCTCAGGCTGTTTTAATGAGCTAAAGAGAGGAGTGATGCAGTCAGTCTGTGTGCTCCTGTGTCTCTCCAGGCCAGCAGGGGGAGGAAGCTGGGCAGACGGGAGAACATTGAGCTGGTTGACCGTAACCTCGGTGTTGGTGCAGCTGAAGGAGGGCTGGCTGAAGAGGAAGGAGTTCAGGGAGCAGAAGAGAACCTCTGAGGAGTTCATCTCACATCCTGATGAATTTCTGAGCTGACTCACAAGTGACTATCCCATTGGCTGAGTCAAAGATTCTACTTTTTTCTATTGAAGATCCATTAAAGCAATCAGGCTGGAATGATTCTGTAGTTTTTTTTTTTGTTGGTTTTTTTTTTAACATTAAAATACCTAAGCCATAAATGTTTTTATGCATCTCTCTGGATTTTCTGATCTCCATGCCAACTGTTTGCTGCTAAACATATCAAATGCAGTTTGAATTTCAGATGCTTTTACTGGTTCCGCTCTCCCAGTTAAAATCAAAAGGTGACGGGTTGTGTTCAAATTTTTTCAGAAGGAAGTACAGGAAAACAATCTCTCATTTAAAAAGATTTAATCATGTTCATATTATCCTACTACTGATTCTAATATCTAGTTCGGGACATTCTGTTTAGATTGAATATCTCTTTTACATTGCTTTTATTCTGTCGTAGCTATTCTGGTCTTCTATCTCCTGTCTGCATATGTATGCATATTTATATGTATACATGTATATATGTCCACATACGTACCTGTGTGTGTGTGTTTGTATACGTATATGCATTTATATGTATATGTGAGAGTCTGCTTGTGTGTAATATAAAAAAAACACCCAGCACGCCCCTGCGGGCGGTTTATCCTTCAAGCTCGGGTCCTCTACCAGAGGCCTGGGAGCTTGAGGGTCCTGCGCAGTATCTTAGCTGTTCCCAGGACTGCGCTCTTCTGGACAGAGATCTCCGATGTTGTTCCCGGGATCTGCTGGAGCCACTCGCCTAGCTTGGGAGTCACCGCACCTAGTGCTCCGATTACCACGGGGACCACCGTTACCTTCACCCTCCACATCCTCTCGAGCTCTTCTCTGAGCCCTTGGTATTTCTCCAGCTTCTCGTGTTCTTTAAAAAAGCATATCTCTCCTCTGGTATCTTGAGGAATTTTTTTTTCTTTTTGAACTATTTCTCTTTATGTGAAAGATCAGTAGTGAATGATAGACAGGAAAGAGCAGAAGTCTTGCAGCAAAGCCCCACAGTCCCCACTCAAACCCAGCCTGCTGCATCTCAGCCATAAGCCATATGAATGTCTTTTCAATTGGTCAGCTGAACTAGCCACCAGTAAAGAATTCAAATCATGGGTCAGAATCAAAGAAGGGAGCACACTGAGAGGGAGGAAAAGACTCTGGACAGTCAGTTGGAATCAAACACGATTCATTTTTATGGCTAGATAAATGACCAACCGTCAGATTGCTAACAGGTTATGTGATTTCATTTCCATCTTCTTGGAACTTCTGTTAAAATATTTGCATTAGTCTATTAATTATTTCTGTCATTAAACAAGAAAAAAAGAAACTGTTCAATTCGCATCAAAGTAATTCCAGAATTACTTTGATGTTTCCAGTTTTGACAACATGCTTTTTTATAAACAGTAAATAAAAGGTCTTCTAAAATGTCAACCACTGATAATTACTGCCTTAATTTTTTTCTATTGTGAGTTAAACAGTTTGTAAGGCAACACTTCTCCAGGTATTTTATAAAAGTGTGTGATTACTCTCTTGTCTTAAATTGAGCTTTCTCCAAATGTCTTTCTACCTGCAGCTAGACCACAAATAATATTCATATGAAACAGCTTTGGGAGGTGAGAAAAAAATGAATCAGCTGAGAGTGAAGAGGACAACCTGAGAGATCTAAAAATCCAAGTCCCAAAATACAGAAGGCTCCTGTCACTGTTAGATTTGTTGATTGTCATTTATGCTTAGAAATATCTACTCATGTATGCTTAGAGTTTTATAATCAATGTCATGTTGGTAGAGGTCTGATCCTTAGTAGTCTGTGGAGACTCTGGGAGGCACACACAACTTAAGGTCAGGAGAGAGGTTATATCTGCTCTTACTTCACCTTCACAGACATAATGCCTTTTTTAGATGAACTGCTGGACTTCCAAACCAGCAGGTTTAGGGAAGTGAAGGAACGGCGTTTGTCCAGTTCTCTCCAGTGCACGAGAAACATAAAGAACTTTGCCTACTCGTGTCTTGCTTTGCTGTGTAACTAAATTGTCTTCAACGTTCCAGCGAATAGGGTTGAGCTACAAACCTATCAGTCACCATTGTAAACTTTCTGAATTTTAAAGACATACATGGTAATTTTAATTCTACATCCTAAATGGTCGGGAGTTGTGCAACCAAACTCAGCACACAAGTACATCTTAGACCCCTGAAACCTTTAATGTTACAATGTGAAATTCTGACTACACCCACGCATAAGCTACATAAGATAGAAGTGCTACATAAGCACTTGTTTTACCTTAATTATTATTTTCAAACTTCTTGAATCTTACCTAGCAACCACCTACCTACAGGCTAAAATGACCTAGTTTAACATTCATGCACCTGTAACGCATGGCCAAGAGTAAAAACAGGCCAAGTAGTGTTGGAGCACAATCATGTCCAAGTAATAACTGTATTTTAGAAACCTCCCCCACTTCCTATGCTTATGTCTATAGTGAAAGGTTATTCTGCTGAGTTGTGTATATTCAATGTAATACAATTAAATGGGGCAACAAATTATCCAAGATCTTTGCACAAATTAATGAAATTGTGATAGAAATTTTACCACATGCGTAATAAAAATAAAAAATAAAGAGTAAAGCCACAGTCTGCAGGATATTTGACAAATAACAAACAAGTATAGAATTTTATGCAGGAACAAGTTATCCACCTACCGTCATTACAGAATACATTAAAACTATTCTATGCAAAAACTATATCAGTTTTATTCTATACAATATTAGTCCAGAATAAGATTTCTGTAGAGAAAGTCAAGTTGTTTTTTTGCATGACTTTTATATTAGTTACAGTGTTGATAGAATTGATATGAAACAGAAAAGACCTTAATAATGAGGAAAGCATGTGGCTACCAACAATGTGATGCTCATGCCCTACTGGAGTAAGCAATGCATCTTATATGACATCACACACTGTGGACACACTGACCACAAGCAACATGTTCTCTACATTTTATTTGTTTTCTTCTATTTTATTACTTATACAAGGCACTGAGGTACTTTTAATTAACTAAAACTACACATATGAGAGAGTGCAGGAATTTATATATTTATTTCATTTCATTTCATTTATTTGTTCATTTTCAGGCACAACAAATACCTATATTGAACATAAAATGCACAAAATAACTTCAGCATAACCAAAAATTAAAAACATAAGAAAAAGAGGCACATCGAGTAGAATCTCACAGATAAGGGAACAAAATTAAAAGGTACAAAGAGACTTCTGAAATACGGATACATAAAAAACTGTAATGGTGCTGGATCGTTGACCCAGCGTTTTGGGTTTCATATGATTATTTTCCTCTGTACCAGTTTATTCTGATTTTGGTACCCTGTGTCCTCCCCTTATGCCCTGTTTATGTCCCTGAGTTTGCGTTTTGGATTTCCTCTTTTATTCTGAAGGTCTGTGTCTGTGGTCATTGTGTTCAGCTTGTATCCTCCAGTCATTATGTATATTAGAATCAGCTGTGTCTCCCACCTGTATGTCATTTCCTGGTCTCCTTGTGTGTGTATATATAGTGGGTGTCGGTCTGCGTTTGTTGTCGGCTCGT